CAAGTTTTAAATTCTCCTTGGCAGCGATGGAAATCTAGAACGTTTTCAAGATTCGCTTTTAACAGTGTACAAACTCGTTGACAGCTTTCGTCATCTACGTGATTCTCAATACACAGTACTTCATGCACACAACTAGTTGGCAGCTAGCTGAACAGTTGGACGCTGATACTAAACCCCCATTCCTTATTAGAAACTTCAAACTCTCAAGACGGTTTCTGATGACTATCACTTACCTTTATGGTTTTTGATCACTAACGCGACTCCGGGACACGTCTTCAAAAGCTTTCACCTGGTTGCGGTGTGCAGTCACCCTAAGTTAGAGATGATGAAAAAAGAGCATTTGTACCATATATCTGTCACAAACCCCGGCCTGACACATTGTCATTAGTCTCCAAACGGCTTGACACGTGATTGATCCGTTCAAAACTTCCACTAACCGCACATACCATTTGCACCACAAACTTCCAAGCCCCCAAGTTTGCCTAATTAATTAACACCTGAGTGTCAGCGAGACCACCGGTGTCTGTTGCTACAAAGTGCGTTGTCTGTTGTTTAAAGCTAAGCGAAATAGTGGACACTACACTCTTGCCTAATGTTTGTCATAGACTCAGGTATAGGCGCATCATCTGCGGCGATCATGCCATCGTTACTTTATGTACTGTCGACTACAGCTGAATGTGGACGCTGCCCAAAGTTTGAACTCTGGTAGAAACTTTCCAAAGTTTGCCAAACACTCATCGCTGCTCAACATTTTTATATGCCCTGCTTTCACATCTGATTGCCACTTAACTCTGAAGCTTCCGTGATCTAATCGCAGCATGTAGTCATAAATCAGACATCATGGAGAAAATAAATCATACGCGTTTGGTGACCTGGCGTTCTGGAATTAAACTCGCCGGTACAGCTGATCAGCGCTCCTCTGCATTGTTTCTAATACAAATTCAGCCAGGATTGATTGAATCTAAGAAAGTATTTGGCACCTGTCAAAAAACACGCAAGCTCGCATCATTAGAAGCTTATGCATAAAAATTAGATACACATGCAAAATTAAATGCGGTTA